GAAGAAGAGGAAGAGGAGAGGGAGGATGAGGAGGAAGAGGAGGGGGAGGAAGAGGAGATGGAGGAACGTGAGGAAGAATCTGAACAAAGCGAAGAGGAAATTAGAGAAACACCGCCTGGTATATATTCCTTTTCATCTTAATTTCTCGATTTATGTTCGTATTTAATTTTAAATTATTGAATTTTTAATAGGAATACCTCCCAGTCCTATTCTCTACGTGAGAAGGAGCCGATGATAAAAGACGTTACCTCAGAAAAACATGTATGTTTATCAAATTAAATACGAACATAATATTCTAAGCAAACTAGAAGTATTTTCTATAAAATTCTAATTTTTGTAACTTTTGTACAGAAGCGAACATCGAAGAGCCGCAGCGTGGAGGAGGACTTACTGCTCAAGAAAATTTGGAGGAGGGGGAGGTGGAGGAGGAGCAGGAAACAGCAGGCGAAGAAAGAGAAGAGGAAGAGGAAGAGGAGAAGGAGGAGGCAGCGGCTGAGGAAGGAGGACAAGTGGAAGAGGAGGAAGAAGAAGGAGGACAAGTGGAAGAGGAGGAGGAAAGAGAACAAGCACGTGGCGGGGAGGTTAGAAATTTTAATCATTTAATATTAATCGGGGAAAATTCGCGCCGGTTTAGAAATTTTGCAATATTAGGAAGAGAGGCGATATTCCGTTTGCGTCCGCTACCCGAAGGAGCCGGTGTTTATAACTGGCTTGAAAACGCGTTCGCCGAAATTTATGCCTACGCGTTACATACCTCCGAACCGCACGATTACGTGGGATTTTCATTTAATTCGGAGGATTTAACGCACGGCCCGGCGGGATTATCGTTTCGACCGGCACGCGACTTAACTCGCGAGGACATTTGGCGCCTTGTGAGTTCAGTAACGCAAAGTACCGGAGGTCTCGATATCGCGCGGGATTTTAACGTACGCGTTTTCAATGTCGCGGCATCCAGAGGTCGCGGACGCATTTCAAATAAACTCACACGGGAAGACGTTGCGAAACGTTCGATTTTATCAATCTCCAATTCCGATAATTTATATTTTCCCCGCTCTCTCGTAACCGCGCAAATTTATCACGAACGTGGTACGTTGCGTGCGGGGGAACTTCACGAGCGGTGGACTGTGGTAAGACATCAGAATTCCTCGTTACAACGCGAACTCGCGTTGGATTTGACGAGGAGAGCTGGTGTCACCATTCCACCGGAGGGTTGCGGGATTCGGGAAATAGAATGTTTCCAACGCTTTCTCGCCGCATCTGATATAGCTATTGTTGTTTATAATTCTACTACTTTTGGACGCGGCGAGAAACCCTTATTTGACGGAAGCACGGTACTCGCCTCTCTAGAACGCGAACCTTTATATCGTCTAAATATTATATATCACGAGCAACATCGACATTATAGCCCAATTTTAAATTTAAAAGCAGCCGCGGGGAGTAGAGGGGGGGTATTGTATTTCATGTAATATCGGGTATCGTGAGGAAAGGGGTCACCGCTGTTCGAATAAGTGTTCTGTTGTAACAACGTGCCGCCGTGCGATCAACGCGAAATCGTGGAATTCGTTAGGTGTGAGACTTGCAAACATTCGTTCTTCGGAAACGCATGCTTCGAACATCATCGCGCGACAAAGTCGTATGACGGTAAAACTCCGACGAGCGTTTGTAACACCATTCGTCTCTGCGAAGAATGCGGGCGGGTTAGTAAAAACGAACAAAAAACACGAATGCGGCGTTTCTTTTTGTAAAATCTGCAGTTTGCAAAAACCCGTAACCATCTTGTTACATGCAGCCTCTCTCTCGCGAAGACAGATCCTTCGTTGTTGAGTGCGGCGAGGATTCTTCTGTATTTGCGAGAGAGAGCGAGCAGAATAACTCAGGTGAGCGGAAATGCAAAAAGGGACGAGTGGACATTCGTGTTTATGATTTGAGATACGTCAAGACCAATCACTTGAGGGAACCGAAATAAAAATTCACGTCCCGACTCTGTGTGTCGCGCAACAGATTTGCGATTCGTGCGCGGAGATAAATGATTTGTCGGTGCGATGCGAGTGGTGCGGAGTACGCGAATTTGTTTTTCGCCAAGATCCGGTAAAACAATTTATCGAATTCGCAACACGTCCTACAAAACATTTTACACGTATTATTTGCATAGCGCATAACGCGAAATCGTTCGACGCGCAGTTTATCCTTCGGCACATTGTAGAAAATTATTCCGGATTAGAACCTCGTGTAATTTTAAACGGTACAAAAATTATGGTTCTAACAGTGAGTCGCACGAAATTTATCGACAGTGTTAATTATATGCCAATGCGTTTGTCAAAATTACCGAAGGCCTTCGGGTTACCGGATACTTGTGACAAAGGTGTCTTTCCGCACTTATTTAATACTGTCGATAATCAAGCATATGTCGGTCCACTACCCGATGTTCGTTATTACGCACCCGAAACCATGCGAACAGAGGAACGCGAACGTTTTCTCGCGTGGTACGCAGAAATGTCAGGAAAAAATGTAATATTTGATTTCCAACGTGAAATATTCGAGTATTGTCGCACCGACATCCTTTGTTGATATCCTTCGTCGAGCATGCATGGCCTTCCGAAAAATATTCTTACAGCGGGGAAACGTGTGTCCATTCGAGGAATGTACAACTATCGCTTCAACGTGCATGAGAGTTTTTCGGAAAAACTTTTTGCGCGAAGGAGAAATAGGAATCATTCCTTCGGGTGGATACAGGTTTAAAGATAACCAGTCGCACAAAGGCACGCAATGGTTAATTTTGAAGGAACGTGAGTTAGGACATCGGATAATTCACGCGGGACGCGGACGTGAGTATCGTTTAGCGGAAGGCATGCTCGTCGACGGGTATTACGAATGCGAGAATGGGAGTGAGACGCGGCGTCACGTCTTGCAATTTCACGGTTGCTTTTTTCACGGATGCCCATCTTGCTATCCATTAAATCGTGATAAAACGCTCGAAAATTTTAACGACACGTTTGACGCGCGTTACGAACGAACGGTTGCAACAACTTGGCGATTACGTCGTCAAGGATATATCCTAACAGAAAAATGGGAGTGCGTTTTCGACGAAGAAATGCGCGAGAATCGAGAGATGCGAGAATTTCTCGAAAATCATCCCATGGTGTAAATCCCACCTCTCGATCCTCGCGATGCATTTTTCGGCGGACGCACCGGCAATATCGCGACTCGATACGAGGTTACGGGCACCGAGAAGATACGGTACGTATACGTATGTTCTCTGTACCCGTATGTACTCAAGACCGGAGTTTTCCCAATTGGTCACCCGGATATTTATGTGGGCGAGGAATGTGCCGATTTAATTGGAATCGCGCCAAATTTTAATTTTACTCCGGTCGAGGGTCTCGTACGTTGCCGAGTACTCCCCCCATGTGATCTCTTCCACCCTGTACTACCATACCGCGTGCGCGGTAAATTATTATTTGCTCTTTGCCATACATGTTGCGAATCATTTTCTCGCGACGCGTGCATTCACGATGATCTTGCGGAGCGTGAGTTCGAGGGCACATGGGTGTCATGCGAATTACGCAAAGCAGTCGAAAAAGGATATCTCGTGACGCGGGTAGACGAAATTTAGCAGTACAAATCTATGCGTTATAACTCCGAAACGCGACAGGGAGGGTTGTTTACCGAATACATCAACACTTTTTTACAACTGAAACAAGAAGCGAGTGGGTGGCCGAGCGAATGCAACGACGACGTTGCTAAAGAACGCTACCTGAGGGAGTATGAAGCAACCGAAGGTATCATTCTCGATAAAAACAACATCGTGCGTAATTCCGGCTTACACTCCGTCGCCAAACTCTGCCTTAATTCGTTTTGGGGGAAATTCGGCCAGCGGAGTAACCTGCCGAATACAGAAATAATAAGATCCTCTCAGCGTTTAGTCGAATTGCTGTCGAGTCCTGAACACGAGATAGTCGGTGTATTGCCCGTTAACAAGGATGCGATATATGTTTCATGGCGGTTAAAGAGCGAAGCGGTGATACCTTCACCGATAACTAACGTGGTGATAGCGGCATACACGACGGCACAGGCGCGATTAAAATTATACGAATATTTGGAAAAATTAGATCGTCGCGTATTATATTATAATACAGATTCATGTATATATACGAACAGCGGTGATCCCGAACCGCGTACAGGTAATTTTTTGGGTGACATGACCGACGAACTCGAGAGTTACGGGCGTGGTAGCTTCATCGAGGCGTTTGTCTCTGGCGGACCGAAATTTTACGCGTACGTGGTACGTACACCGGACGCACGAAAATATGAAATATGTAAGATAAAGGGGATTAAATTAAATTTTGAAAACTCGAGGTTGCTTAATTTTAAGAGTATTTATCATTTATTATTAAATAGGGAAAAAGAGGAAGAGGAAGAGATAAATCTGCGATTTAAAACAATTCGCCACACCGCGTCTCACGAAGTAATAACGCGAAACGAGGTGAAAATGTGTGCTCCTGTTTTATTAAAACGCAGATTCATCGACAATCTTCTTTCTTATCCCTATGGTTTTACGATATAATATTTTACTTAAAATTAAGTTAGGTTAAGGCTCGGATTTTCCCCGTCCTCCCACAAATGTAAATATGTACAGAATATGTATACAGACTAAATATATTTGTAAAAATTAAGATTATTTTTATTTTAGTTATAGTTTATTTTAGTATTAAATTTAAGAAAAAATGCGAAATTTGAAAAATGTATATTATACGGTTTCGATTAGAAAATGTAAAATTACAAATGTAAATTTGCGTTTAGTTATTAAAAAAAATATAATAAAAATATTTATTTCTCTAATCGTAAGAAAAAGTATAATAAAAATTTTGTAAAATTAAATTTTTAAATCCAATTTTTTCTCACTTTCCTATAATTTTCCTATAACTTTCTTTTATCACTAATTTTTATATAGAAAATATTTTGAATTTATAATAGAGAATCATTAAAATACTTTGTAAAATATTTTTTAAATTATAATCCTAAATTATAATCGCATAAGTTACGATTTTTAAATTTGTAAAAGAAAAAGTTATAAATTTTTACGTCCGTAATAATAAGTATTCAATTATTTTTTCCGCGAGTAAGTTTCTCTGCCTTGAATTAGCTTTCGAGGAGCACCGCGTACAAGCTCGTAAGCGACGGTGCTCTCGCGGTGGACGCTCGCACGAGCGTACGAGCGCGGCTTGTCGCGGACGAGTACGAGCTTGTTACGCAAAGATGCTGGCGCGAGCACATCTCCGCCGCGGTGGGGCCCTTCCGCGAGTAAGCTAATCTCAAAAATTTCTCTGAGAAAAAATCAAGTGTTCCTTTGTTTATTAAACTAAGTACGACGTGCACGGCGTTCATTTCGCGAAATGGATGTACGCTGGAAACATCCGTGGACGTCGATCGTGTGCGGACCGACGGG